TACAAAGGGAAGAATGCGGTCTAGAAGCCGTAAGCAAAGTGCCTAAGGTCACAGAACTAGTATGTGTTACGACTGGGGTTGTAAAAAGTGTGATACTCCACAGTCTGCATCATGTTCTCATCCATATTTGAGCTATTGCCTCTACCTGAAATGTGCCTCCCTCTCGTCCTTTAGGGTTCATCAGGCTCTGCCCACTTTTGGATCTCAGGTCAAGTTTCAGGTCTGGCATCCCCCAACTCCCACATCTGTTTCCTCAGGTGCAGCTCACATGACGAATTCTTTTCCTCAGAACATATTATCAATTCATATGAATATGGTACTTTGCTTAAAACTCTGTCTCCACCATATGACTGCATTATCCCTACCACCTACCACCTACCACCATAACATAGTAGGAAGTCTGAAATACTTGTTGAATAAATGAGGGAGGGAGGGAAGGAGGGAAGGAGGGAAGGAAAGGAAAGGAGACAAAAGGAAAGGCAGTAAGGGGGGAGGGAGGAAGTAAAGAAATGAAAAAAAGAGAAGTAAAAATTTAAACAAGGAAAGAAACTAAACATATTTAAGTTCACCCATTCTTTAAAGCTGTATACCTTCTCCAGGAAGCCTTCTGTGGTTTCCCCATCTGGAACCAATCACACCTTCCCTGTGATCTCACCTCCCTTGTACTCTCTTTCTTTGGTCTTCAAGGTCTGCTTTCCGTCCTCTTTAATTCATCCATGTCCACCTCCCTCACTATAATAAAAACCTCTGTTGTATGGAAACCAATTTGACAATAAATTTCACATATTAAAAAATAAATAAATAAATAAATAAATAAATAAATAAATAAATAAATACCTCTGGAAACCATGAAAGCGTTCCTACTTGCCTTTCTGTTTTCCACAGTGTCTACAGCCTACTGTCTATTTAACATCAAAGTTACTAAGTTTTTTACTGAACTCAATTAACTAAGATGATGATAGCCTTCAGGCATAATATATCCTTTTCTGGACCCAAAACTTGGAAGGAATCACGATGGAGAGCCTAAAAAGAATCAATGCCTTGCTGCAGCTAATTCAGAAAAATGAAGCTCTATACATACCTTTCTTGCACATGCTATCCGACTTTTGCAAAAGCCCCATTTAACAGAGAAAATCTCTAAGAAAAAAAAGAGAACCTGTTCCAATAAGCACACTAACTACACTGTCTTCTGTCTGTAAAATACAAACCACATGCTTTTTACGTTTTCACAGACTCTGGACCCCATCAGCAACAATGAACCCAGTGAACTTGGAGTAGCCCCAGGTTGGGGATTTCAAATGCACTGCTGGTCATATACGTGTCTCGACCCATACTAGGAATTCTTACTGGCTTCCCCAGAGTGGTGATGAGGTTTCAGGGTTAGCCCCAACTTTCTTACCTCATTCTTTCATGAGCCAAAGCATCTGGGAAGTAATCACCAAGCTGGGTCCACAGCCTGTGGCTATGGGGGAAAAAATCACCTTCTACTGCCCCACGTGGAGGCAAAAACTTGCCAAACCCACTAACAGGGTCTCATCAGCACCATATCCTTACAAAGTGGGCCAACACAGGCATTCTAAAGTCATTCAGCAATCTGCAGGAAATGCCATCCTAGAAAATAAGCTCATCAAAGTCCCAAAGAGAGACTAAAAATGTGGGATATTTTTGGCAGATCCTAATTGACAAATAGAATTTGAAATTATGGAATTAAGATAGCAAATGCTATACTCTATGCTGTTCGAAGTAATGTTTTCAAGAGACAACATTTTTATCTTATTACTACCAAATTTCACCGAGGTCAGATATAAAAGAGATCATCATCAGATGCTTGCTGTCCAAGGAACCAGGAACAGAGCAGTCCGCAGTCTGCTCTGTATCCTTTGTTGTTTCAGAACCTCCTGGCAATGGTGAATTGCTCTCAACGGTTGTGACTGAGAAAATTTCATCCCATTCGTTTTTTTTTTTTTTTTAATTTTTTTTTTCAACGTTTCTTTATTTTTGGGACAGAGAGAGACAGAGCATGAACGGGGGAGGGGCAGAGAGAGAGGGAGACACAGAATCGGAAACAGGCTCCAGGCTCTGAGCCATCAGCCCAGAGCCCGACGCAGGGCTCGAACTCGCGGACTGCGAGATCGTGACCTGGCCGAAGTCGGATGCTTAACCGACTGCACCACCCAGGCGCCCCTCATCCCATTCATTTTATTAGAGCGCATCATCCTGCACTTTGATCTCCACTCCAAGGTCCAAGAGATGGAGGTCTACTGAACAAGGGGAAGGAGCTAATCTCAATCTAATCTACCCTCTCACTCAAAAGTAACCTCCCTTCCCTCAGGACCCTCCCGAGGTCACCATCACCTCCCACAAGAGGCTCTGCCTTAACTAGGGCTTATTATGTCTTTGCCTGCTCTCTGTGAAGGCTACGAAGTATGAGTTTCAAATGCTAAGTATAGAACATTAGAACCCTGCTTCTGCTCCAAAAATAAATGAACGCCTGGTTTCCTGGCACCTACAACAGGAGAGTTAAAGATCGTGTGATAGTTCTAACGGGTATGCACGTGCATCAACTGATGCATTATATAAACTAGGATTAATTTAAAAAGGCATTGAGAAAGGGGGGGGACGAATCTCAGCTACCAACCCGTCTAATCACTTCATTTTACAGATGAAGAAATCAAGATTTAGAAGACTTGCATCCGGGCTTTCACAGCTAGCTGTGACACATGGACTAGAGTCCGTGGGCAAGACTTTGCCGGCCCCAGACTCTGTCCACAACCCTACAATACAATGCTCATTAGCAGACTCTGCTGGCAGATAACGAGCACGTAGCTGCCGTTCCTTGAAACAAGACCTCACGAAGTACTAACTAGAGAAAGGCCAAGGGATATGTGCAAAGTAAAAGGGTCATCTGGAGCAGAAAGAGGACTGGATTTCAAGCCTACTAATTCTTGCTGTTTTTATACAGTGCTGAGTTTAAGAGTCAATATATTTGAGACAGGTGTTTGGATCCTGACAGAAGTTGTGATCCAACTCCCAGTGCCCAGAATAGACAGCCAGTCAGAAGAGCAGCAAGCCATACACAATGAGGTTTGTAAAGGCTTACTTCTGTTCGGTGTGAGCATGCCACACCAATTCCCTTCACTCCAAATCTTGGAATCAAGACTCTGAGAATCTGCAGAACAATTTTTCTCATTAGATGCGTGATACGGGGGCGCCTGGGTGGCTCAGTCAGCTAAGCCTCCAACTCTTGCTTTCACCTCACGGTCATGATCTCACGGTACCGTGGGTTCGAGCCCCGCATCAGGTTCTGCGCTGACCGTGCGGAGCCTGCCTGGGATTCTCTATGTCCCTCTCTCTACCCCTCCCCCACTCGCAGTGTCTCAGTCTTTCTCAAAATAAATAACTTAAAAAAAAAAAAAAAGATGCATGCCATATTACTCCCGACCTCACATTTATCTCCAGATGGCAACGAAGCACTTATTCCTACTCTCCACCTCAAATTGGGAGTCCTCCCAGCAATCTGAGAGGACTGCAGGAGGAAGAAATGGTGAATGTTATTTTACTAAACGAGGAGTCAAAATACAGGGTCGCATCCTTTCCAACCAAATACAGGAAGCTTGCTTCTCAAGGTTAATAACATCCTGAAGCCCCGACTGTACTGAGCCACCTCATTTTCTGGTCCTCTAAGTACTAATAAAAATTATTGACAACATTATGTTGTAGTTTATCTAAGTTTGATGCCATAAACAAGATTTTCTGCAGTGAAAGAAAAGAATGATTGTACATAATGGTCATATGCTCATGTTACAAATGCTTAATTTATGATAAACATTTATGAGCAATTTTAGGAAATACTGTCTGTGAAACAAACAAAATTAAAATTAAAAGGGTACCTTATCCTTCCCACTTTCACATACAGTGAAACCATTTTAAACTTTTCAAGAAAAGATTTCAATATAGTGAAGTTAGAGGTGAATATTTAAAGTTCTTTTGGCTCAAGAACCAAAATACATAAGAATGTAAATGGAATGTTATCTAGAAATACCTCATGGTACAAACATAACTATTTAAAATTTTTTTAAATGTTAATTTATTTGGGGGAGAGAGAGAGACAGAGTGTGAGCGGGGAAGGGACAGAGAGAGAGGGACACACAGAATCCGAAGCAGGCTCCAGGCTCCCAGCTGTCAGCACAGAGCCCAAGGCAGGGCTCGAACCCAGGAACCACGAGATCATGACCTGAGCCGAAGTCGGACGCTTAACTGACTGAACCACCCAGGAGCCCCAACACAAAACTATTTAAATAGTTTGCTATTGCATTTCGAATTCTACTTCTGAATGTAAATGAACCTGAAAAACATTTTTTCTAGCATTTCTTATATAGTTGTCTCAGAATAAGGTGTGTTCTGTCAGTCTGTCCACTTGTAAAATGTCAAGCTTTAAAATGATTAGTACCATCAATATTCTTAAGGAAGATGTTTCTTTAGGTTTAAAGATTTTTAGATTTCAGTGTCATTAGATAGGAATTGAGTAACATTTTCCTGGACTGCTTGTAGGCGAAAAAAAGTGTTATCTACTTTTAAACTTAAAAAGTGTTGGTTGGGGGCCTCTGGCTGGCTCAGTCAGATAAGCGTCAGACCCTTGATTTCGGCTCAGGTCATGATCTCAAGGTGTGTGAGTTCGAGCCCCATGTCAGACTCTGTGCTGACAGCATGGAACCCGCTTGGGATTCTCCCTCTCTCTCTCTCTCAAAATAGATAAACCTTAAAAATAAGTGTTGGTGGTATTTGACTTTCTTTTACTTTACACGAGTTACACTTACCTTAGGTCCATTGTAGGATTGAATTCTGGTACCATACGCAAAAGGAATCAAGATTACGTTTTTAAATTCCCACATTTATCACTTATTAACATCTAGAGGGAAAATTATCTTTGGCTAAACCAGCTCCATTACACAACTGAATATTATTCTGCAATGGTTGCCGAGTATAAAGAACAACCTTACCAGTTGCTTCATCAAGTCTGAGTTGGATCCTGCCCGTACAAGTAGGGTGTGTTTCTGGGGATCTAGGGTGGACACACAACTCTCCCATTCAAAAGAGAATACCTAGAAAATTAAAACAATAAATAAGGGAAAGAAATCAAAAACAATGAATAATCTCTTACAGTTCCTAAAATTTCCAGGTTTTATGCTTGTTAACTTGATGCAGAGCCAAGTATTTATTCATATGGAGAAGCTTAGTACATTCCAGGAAGTGGGGACATGAATGGCAAAGGTACTGCCTGAGACCATGTACAGATTAAATGAGATAGCATGTACAAGGCACGAAAAAAATACCTGGCACAGAAATATATGCAGCCAAGAATTCTTTATCCAGCAAGGCTGTCATTCAAAATAGAAGGAGAGATTAAAAAAAAGTTTCCCAGGCAAACAAAAATTAAAGGAGATCATGATCACTAAATCAGCTTCGCAAGAAATTTTAAGGGGGACTCTGAGGGGAGAAAAGAAAAAAAAAAAAGACCAAAGCAACAAAGACTAGAAAGGACCAGAGAACACCACCAGAAACTCCAACTCTACAGGCAACACAATGGCAATAAATCCGTATCTTTCAGTACTCACTCTAAACATCAATGGACTAAATTCTCCAATCAAAAGACATAGGGTAACAGAATGGATACAAAAACAAGATCTATCTATATGCTGGTACAAGAGACCCACTTTAGACCTAAAGACACCTTCAGATTGAAAGCAAGGGGATGGAGAACCATCTATCAAGCTAATGGTCAATAAGAGAATGCTGGAGTAGCCATACTTATATCAGACAATCTAGACTTTAAAATAAAGACTGTATCAAGAGATAGAGAAGGGCATTATATCATAATTCAGGGGTCTATCCACCAAGAAGACCTAATAATTGTAAACATTTATGCTCCAAATGTGGAAGGACCCAAATATAGAAATCAATTAATCACAAACATAAATAAACCCATTGATAATAATACCATATAATAGTAGGGAACTTCAACACCCCACTTACAACAATGGACAAATCATCTAAACAGAAAATCAACAAGGAAACAATGGTTTTGAATGGCACACTAGGCCGGACAGACTTAACAGATATATTAAGAACGTTCATCCTAAAGCAGCGAAATACACATTCTTCTCCAGTACACCTGGAACATTCTCCAGAATAGATCATGTTTTAGGACACAAATCAGCCCTCAACGAGTACAAAAATATCGAGATCATACCGTGGATATATTTTCAGACCACAATGCTATGAAACTCGAAATCAACCACAAGAAAAAATGGGGAAAGATATCAAATACTTGAAGACTAAAGAACATCCTACTAAAAAATGAATGGGCTAACCAAGAAGTTAAAGAGGAAATTAAAAAGTACATGGAAGCCAATGAAAATGATAACACCACAATGCAAAACCTCTAGGACACAGCAAAGGTGGTCATAAGAGGGAAGTATATAGCAATCCAGGCCTTCCTAAAGAAGGAAGAAAGGTCTTAGGTACACAACCTAACCTTAAACCTCAAAGAGCTGGAAAAAGAACAGCAAATAAAACCCACAACCAGACGAAGACAGAAAACAATAAAGATCAGAGCAGAAATCAATGCTATCGGAAAACAAACAAACAAACAAACAAACAAACAAAAGAAACAGTAAAACATATCAATGAAACCAGGAGCTGGCTCCTTGAAATAATAAACAAAATTGATAAACCCCTAGCCAGTTTGATCAAAAAGAGAAAGGAAAGGACCCAAATACATAAAATCAAGAATGAAAGAGGAGAGATCACAAACAAGCCAGCACAAATACAAATAGTAATAAAAGAATATTATGAGCAATTATACGCCAATAAAATGGGCAATCTGGAAGAAATGGGCAAACTCCTAGAAACATATAAACTACCAAAACTGAAACATAAAGGAAATTTGAACAGACCCATATCCAGTAAAGAAATAGAAATAGTAATAAACAATCTCCCAAAAAAAACAAGAGTCCAGGGCCGGATGGCTTTCCAGGGGAATTCTACAAAACATTTAAAGAAGAGTTAACACCTACTCTTTTTAAGCTGCTCCAAAAAATAGAAATAGAAAGAAAACTTCCAAACTCTTTCTATGAAGCCAGCATTACCTTGATTCCAAAACCAGACAAAGACCCCACTAAAAAGAACTACAGACCAATTTCCCTCATGAGCATGGATGCAAAAATCCCCAACAAGATACCAGCCAAACGGATCCAACAATACATTAAAAGAATTATTCACCATGACCAAGTGGGATTTATACCTGGGATGCAGGGCTGGTTCAATATCCACAGAACAATCGATGTGATACATCACATCAATAAAAGAAAGGACAAGAACCACATCCTCTCAATAGATTCAGAGAAAGCATCGGACAAAATACAGCATCCTTTCTGGATAAAAACCCTCAAGAAAGTAGCAATAGAAGGATCATACCTCAAGATCATAAAAACTGTGTATTATGGGGAATAAGCTTAGGAATTCCCTGAGCTTGCACCAATGGGTTATCAAGGCATAAAGAATTAGAAAGCCATAGAATGTACACCCCAAGTTTAGGTAAGCAAGATTAGGTAAATAAGATTAGGTAAATGGGGAAAACGCCCCCAGTATAGGTAAACGGGGCAAAGGCCCCCAGTATAGGACAAGCGGGGCAAAGGTCCCAGTATAGGACAAAAGTATAGGAATAGGGAATCTCAGGATGAAAACATCTAAGATGAGGTAAACAAGATTAGGAATTCAGGGCGGAAATGCCCCCCAACTTAGTACAATAGCAGAAAGCTGCTTTCACAGGAAGGAAGGACCAAATTAGGTAAACAGCTAAATAGGGCTATAGACTGCTACAGGGAGAAGTTGCCCAGAGCAGAGCTAATTAGCAAAAGAAAGGGTACCTTGTTGACCCTAAAGTAGCATGCTCTGTCTTTCTTGTGCCCTAGGCCAGTTTAGGTAAACAGAGGTAGTATCTCACTTCTGCTGTAAACAACCTTCCACCTGGTGTCAGGATTTTGTTTTGCATTAACCCAAATTCCTAACACAGCAAGCATATCTTCAAAACCCCCTTTCTCTCATGCCCATGAGTTAATGTTCACTATTTCATTGTCTCTTTGTGCACACCCATCACCATGTTTGTAAGCCACCTGATCCTAATAAAAACGGTGCAAGAACCCTTCCTTGGGGCTCTTGTCTCCTCCCAGACATTAGCCCCTCTCACATTTTTAATCCTGCATCCTGCTTTCTTGCTGGACAAGACAGAACTCCAGACCCAGAGTCTATGACAGTATATGAGAGATCCACTGCTAATATCATCCTCAATGGGAAAAACTGAGAGCTTTCCCCCTAAGGTCATGAACACAACAGGGATGTCCACTATCACCACTATTATTCAACATAGCATTGGAAGTCTTAGCCTCAGCAACAACACAAAGGAATAAAAGGCATTCAAATCAGCCAGGAGGAAGTCAACCTTTCACTCTTCACAGATGACATGATACTCTATATGGAAAACCCAAAAGATTCCACAAAAAAACTGATAGAACTGATCCATGAATGCAGCAAAGTCACAGGATATAAAATCAATGCACAGAAATCAGTTGCATTCCTATACACCAATAGTGAAACAACAGAAACAGAAATCAAGGAATCGATCCCATTTACAGTTGTACCAAAAACCATAAAATATCTAGGAATAAACGTAACCAAAGAGGTGAAAAATCTATACACTGAAAACTATAGAAAGCTTATGAAAGAAACAGAAGAAGACACACAAAAAAAATGGAAAAATATTCCATGTTCCTGGATTGGAAGAACAAATATTGTTAAAATGGCAATACTACCCAAAGCAATTACACATTCAATGCAATCCCTATCAAAACAATACCAGCATTCTTCACAGAGCTAGAACAAATAATCCTAAAATTTGTATGGAACCAGAAAAGACCCCGAATAGCCAAAGAAATCTTGAAAAAGAAAACCAAAGCAGGAGGCATCACAATCCTGGACTTCAAGATGCATTGCAAAGCTGTAATCTTCAAGACAGTATGGTACTGGCACAAAAACAGACACTCAGATCAATGGAACAGAATAGAAAACCCAGAAATGGACCCACAAACATATGGCCAACTAATCTTTGACAAAGCAGGAAAGAATATCCAATGGAATAAAGACAGTCTCTTCAGGAAATTATGTCACTGAACAGTAACATGCAGAAAAATGAACCTGGATCACTTTCTTACACCATACCAAAAACAAACTCAAAGTGGATGAAAGACCTAAATGTAAGACAGGAAGTCATCAAAATCCTTGAGGAGAAAGCAGGCAAAAACCTTTTTGACCTTGGCCGCAGCAACTTCTTACTCAACACATCTCTGGGGGCAAGAGAAACAAAAGCAAAAATGAACTACTGGGACCTCATCAAAGTAAAAAGCTTCTGCAGAGTGAAGGAAACAATGAGCAAAACTAAAAGGCAACTGATGGAATGGGAGAAGATATTTTCAAATGACATATCAGATAAAGGGTGGGTATCCAAAATCTATAAAGAACTTATCAAACTCAACACCCAAAAAACAAATAACCCAGTGAAGAAATGGGCAAAAGACATGAATAGACACTTTTCCAAAGAAGACATCCAGATGGCCAACAAACACATGAAAAAATGCTCACCATCACTCATCATCAGGGAAATACAAGTCAAAACCACAATGAGATACCACCTTACTCCAGTCAGAATGGCTAACATTAACAACTCAGGCAACAACAGATGTTGGCAAGGATGTGGAGAAAGAGGATCTCTTTTGCTTTGTTGGTGGGGATGCAAACTGGTGCAGCCACTCTGGAAAACAGTATGAAGGTTCCTCAAAAAATTAAAAACAGAGCAACCCTATGAGCCAGCAATTGCACTACTAGGTATTTATCCAAGAGATATGGGTGTGCTGTTTCGAAGGGGCATGTGCTCCCCAATATTTATAGCAGCACTATCGACAATAGCCAAAGTATGGAAGAGCCCAAATGTCCATCGAGGGATGAATGCAAAAGAAGATGTGGTATATATATACAGTGGAGTATTAGT